GGCTTTTACACCGCGCCCCCTGGCCCACGGCTCGCCCTGTGCTTCGTGGACATCCGTCGCTTCGGCCGCTGGGACCTCGGGGGCGAGTGGGGGCCGGACCGCGGGCCCTGCGTGCTGGGGGAGTACGAGAGGTTCAGGTAGGGCCAGGCGGGCCGTGGCTGCCTTGCGGGGCTGTCTTCCTATGCCCCCGCCCCGCACAGGCTCCCTAAGCCCTGGCTGTGGAAACCCAGAACTGACGAGGGAGGAGGGCCCTGAGGACAGCCCAGGTGGAGGCAGCTGGGCCTCCAGGCTGCCAGCTCCAACACAGTACCGTGTGGCGGACCAGGCATGGGCTCCCAGTGGCCGGGGGGCTGCCCAATCACACACATGGTCCTCAGTCAGCTTTGGCGGGCTCCCACACTTGTCTGCCCTGTGGTCTGGGTGGCTGTCCCCTGCTGCAGGAAAGGTAACAGTTCCACCCGGCATGACATCTACGAGCACCGTGTTAGCCACGGGACATGCACCTGAGTGGGTCTCCCTGAGTGGGACATGAGACGGGAGCCCACCCACCCTGGTCCTGCACAGGGGCTCCAGACACGCCAGAGGTCTGGTGACTGGTGTTCTCAGAAGTGTCCCGAGGGGTCGGAGCGCTGACGACAATGGGCCGCGGACGGCCTCGCGTGCGTTCTCTTGAACATGGCGTTTTAGATCACTCCTCACCTTTCATGATTAATTCAAATCCCACCATGCTCCCATTTAACGGATGAGGAAACCGAGGTTCCAGTTGCCAGAAGAGCAGTGGGGAACCCTCGCACCCAGTCCCTGGTGGAGAGCTGGGTCTCATGCCCCAGCCCCTGTCCCTGCAGGGACAATGTGCTGCGGAACCTGGCAGACAAGGCCTTTGACCGGCCCATCTGCGAGACTCTCCTGGACCAGAGGTTCTTCAATGGCATTGGCAACTACCTGCGGGCAGAGATACTGTACCGGTCAGCAGGCTGGCCTGGCGAGTGGGCTGGCACGGGTGGGGCAGGCATGCCTGCCTTCATGGCTGAGCATGCGCCCCCTCCTCGTCCCCACCCAGGCTGAGGATCCCCCCCTTCGAGAAGGCCCGCACCGTCCTGGAAGCCCTGCAGCAGCGCAAGCCGGTGAGGGCCCAGGGGGTCGGCCTGAGAGCACTGGTGTGGGCCGGCCAGGGCAGGGGGAGCACCAGCAGCTTGCCAGACGGTGTGTGTGGGCGTGCGGGGGCCCCCAGTTCACGGGGGAGGCCTGCTGCCTCCTGAGCAGCTCTGTCCAACATGGACTGACCGCCAGGTCCTGCCATGCTCCTTCCCCAGAGCCCGGAGCTGACCCTGAGTCAGAAGATCAGGAACAAGCTGCAGAACCCAGACCTGCTGGAGCTGTGTCACTCAGTGCCCAAGGAAGTGGTCCAGCTGGGTGAGGCCGGTCGGCGCCAGTGCAGCGAGGCGCTGGGCTCTGGGGGTGGATGTCTGCCGTGCTGGTGTCAGGCCTCCCGCCTTGTCATGTCGAGCACTTCTCCAGGCTGCCTGGGAGACCGGCCGGGCGCACTTATCCCCATTCCAGGATGGGCAGGCCCTGGCCCAGTGGGGACGCTGCCAGCCCAGGCCATGCAGCTGGAGGAGGGGGAACTTGGCCCCCTGGCTCAGTCCATCAGCTGAGCTAGCTGAGGGCTGGGCCAGGTCTACCAGGTGCCCACTCCTGCCAGCCTGAGTCCGCCCTCTGATCCCCACCTGTCCCTCTGTCCCACAGGGGGCAAAGGCTATGGGCCGGAGAGTGGAGAGGAGGACTTTGTGGCCTTCCGAGCCTGGCTGCAGTGCTATGGCATGCCAGGCATGAGCTCCCTGCGGGATCGGCAGGGCCGCACCATCTGGTTCCAGGTTTGGGCCTTTCCGCTCACACAGGCAGCCAGAGATCCCATGGGCGCGGTGGGTGGAGACCTGGGTAAACTCGGTGTTCCTATCCCTCTAGAAGCTGTGTCTTCCCAGTGCCTGTGGGGCCCAAGGCCCACACTTCCTAAGGTCTAAGCCCTCCCTGTGCTAGGCTCCTCCCTTCCTTAGCGCCCAGGGTCCCAGTTCATGGGGTGGCCCGAGGCTTCCTGGGCTCAGAGCCACACTGACCTGAAAGGATGCGAGTCCTGCCTCTGCAGGGAACCCGCCCCTGGCCCAACCCAGGCGATCCCTGAACTGCTGTTCCATTTCAGGGAGACCCAGGACCCCTGGCACCCAAAGGTAAGCCACACCTGATGTAAAAGGCAGAGGGAGTGGGAAGGACCCGGGCCCGCGAGGGCTCCAGCACCGTTCCCGGCCACACCTCCACCAATCCTGGGAGTCACCCCTGGCAGAGTGCGAGTCTGGAGAAAGGGGCGGGGGTCACAGGACCTCAATCACAGCACCTGTGTCCTACAGGGGGCAAGTCTCGCAGAAAGAAACCCAAGGCAGCACCCCCGGGTCCGGAGGACAGGACGGAGGTATGGTTCCGCACCTGCCTCTTTCCTGCACTTACTCCTGGCCTGGTGGCATTTCCTGGCCAAGCTTTTAGGCAACTGCCTTCCTTGGAGATGGGGTGGCAGAGGAGGCAATGATGGGTCCCAGACAATAGGCCTCTGAACTGCTCTGAGCTCAAGGACCCACCTGTGTCTCCCCCACTCAGGACCCTCCACCTCCAAGCAAGGCCCCTTCCCGGACACGAAGGGCACAGAGAAGCCTTCCTGAGAAGAGTACAACCCAGCAGCCTAAGGGGACCCACCTCCAGCAGGACCCACAGGCTCCCCCAGAACCTGGGAAAGGGAGGAGGAAGGGGCAACGGGCTGCCTCAGGTAGGCTTTCCTTAGCATCCCCCTTGGGACACAGGGGCAGCTCCGGGGCAGGCTCACAGGAGAGGGCCATGGCAGAGGAGGCCATGAAAGATGGTGGGGCTATCAGGGCTGGCCAGCCTGGGGGCCAGAGCTAACACACCTCTGTTCTCCCCCAGGCCGCCCCAGACCCCGGAGGATGAAGCCTGATACTCTGTCCTCGGAGCCAGACGGGACCTCGGCCTCCTAGCAGGAGGGCCTGCTTGCGTGTACCCAGCTTTTGTGCTGTCTGGCTCCGAGGCTCTGCCCTGGGGCCTCTCCGAGCTCCCAGCACCACCATGATGGTTTTAAGTGCACCCCCCACCCCACACGTTTTAAGCCCACATATAAAATGCTGTATTTTTATAAACGGGTGAAGGTGAACTTCTGGGCACCTCATGGGCTGGCTGCGGGTCTGAGATGGCGAGGCTGGACATGTCAGGAGGCCCACCTGCCCTGCCAGGCCTGCTGAGCCCCGGCCCTGCCCCAGGTCCCTGGCTCTCAGAGGACAGCCCGTCCTGCAGGAACAGCCCGCAGAGGTGCTGCAGAGACCCTGGAGCCCACCTCCACAGCCCCCCAGCCCCTGGCCCTTGCCCCCTGGCCTAGGGGAAGGACTTCCAAAATCTCATGGTGGGGGCCTCAGCCTGTGGTTGGGCCCCCAGTCTCTCATGGGGGCTGCAGCCTAGACCATCACACACAAGTAACCTTAGCTGTCAGTCCCCTGCCCCCCAAGATGGGCCCAAGGAGGGGGTTGGGGGCTGGTAGCAAGGTTCCTGATCCAAGGATTTATTGTACATGAGGTCACCTGCTTCAGGCTGGGGAGGCTGAAATACCCGGTCCCAAATCCTTCCACCAAACCCCGCCCGGGGACTCAGTTTGGGGGAGGTTGAAGCACCAGCATCAGGGACCGCACTTGGAAGGGAGAAAAGGTGAGCTTCAGGCGGGCGTCCTGCAGCGGAAGGTGGCCGGCAGGGTCTCTCCGCTCCAGGAGGTCGCAGCTGGAGAACACAAGGGCTGTGAGGCCCGCGCCAGTGTGGGCCCCCACCCCCCCGGCCTGCACTCACAGGATGGCCTCTTGGACCGGCAGCGACGTGTGCAGCCAGCAGTCCACGTGGCCACCGTGGGCCTCGTACAGCCGCAGCACCAGCGCGCGGCCCTGCGGGCTGTTCTCCGCCTGCAGGGGAGGCGGGCTGTGGGCGGGGCCGTGCTGGGCCGCCTTGGCCAGGACCCCACCCCTCAGGCGGCACCCCTTGCCTGCTTGACGGTCTCCAGCACCACTGCGGGTGAGGACAGGGAGAAGGCGCTCCAGGTGGGGGCCGGCGCCGGGCCTGGGACTGGCAGCGCCAACAGGGGGAAGTTGAGGCCGTAGGCAGCGCGGATGACACCAGCATCCTGGAAGCAGCCTGGGCGTGGCCAAAGAGGGAGGGATGCTAGGTGGAAAGGATAATGGGCTACCTTTCCACGCCTCCCCGCACCCTCCTGTTGTCAATCCCACTGACTGTGGGAGGGAGACCCCGGGGCCTTGGAGAAGGGCAGAGAGGTGACCAGGTTGCAGGCCATCGCACTCACCCTTGTGCGGCATCAGTGCGTAGGTGAACTCATGGCGCCCCATGTCAGCAGTGGCATCGGGGGCCTTAGGTGCCCGCAAGCTGGGGTGGGGAGGGCAGGTACGGATGAGCCACAACTGCTGGAGCTCACCCCAGGCCAGCACCCCACACCGGCCCAGGCCTAGGGGCGCCCACTCACAGCGAGAGGCTGAGGGTGTTTCCTTGCACTGAAGCGCCGTACTTGCTGTCGTTGAGCAGGGCCAGCCCGAAGCCGTGCTCCGACAGGTCCATCCAGCGGTGGGTCCACACCTAGAGCCCGGACCCCAGACCCACTGGTGGCCCCGGGCGCCTCCCTGTGCACTTGCTCTCTGAGAGAATGCCCGGAACCCCCTGAGGCCCAGGTCCTGCTCTAGGAGCCCTGGCCAGGCCACTGCCCCTGCCTGTAGCTCAGCTCTCCCTCTGGAAACAGGGCTACCTTTTGGCGCCCACCCCACCGAGCGACACAGGGTCAGCACGCCACAGGTCGGAAGTGGCCGGCATTGACCCTCCCCTTTACCCCACACCAGACCAGCCTCTCCCAGTCAGGGAGGAAGGAGTCCAAGCCCCTCCTTGCCCTCTGTCCCCCACCACGGACCTCGAACCGAGCCCAGTCCCACGAGGTGTTGAAGTGGGTGGGCCGCTGCAGGTGCCCGAACTGGATCTCATAGGTGGCCTGGGGGCTCCGCACACGAGCAGGGAACTCCACCTTCAGGAACTTGTGGGCCTCATGCCAGTGTACCTGGGGGTGGGATGGACAGTGCTGGCAGGGCCCGCCAAGACGCACACGGCCTAGAGGAGGCCCCGCCCTGCCCCGCTACCTCAGTGTGGAAGCGGACATAGGGGCAGCCCACGTCCAGCACGACCTCCTGGCTGAGCCGGCTGTTGGGGCTGATCTGCAGCAGGAACCAGGCGCTGCCACTCAGGCCGCCCTCAGTGCCCACGGCCAGGGTCCCAGCCTGGCCCAGCACGGGCTTCCTGTGGGGGAGTGGCACTGAGCTGGGGCAGCCTGGAACCCCGCAGTAGCAGCCCCCAGCCATGCAGAGCATACCGTGTCTCCAGGTGGTAGTCCATGACGTCCCATGCGTCCCAGTATAAGGGGACATCGTCGAACAACACGAACTGGTTCCCCACGGCTCCCTCGGCCCAGGGTCCCAGCCTGGCCCAGCACGGGCTTCCTGTGGGGGAGTGGCACTGAGCTGGGGCAGCCTGGAACCCCGCAGTAGCAGCCCCCAGCCATGCAGAGCATACCGTGTCTCCAGGTGGTAGTCCATGACGTCCCATGCGTCCCAGTATAAGGGGACATCGTCGAACAACACGAACTGGTTCCCCACGGCTCCCTCGGCGATGGCCTCCCTGCGGAGCAAGAGCATGGCACCGGCAGGCTGACCCGGCTCTTGCACTGCTCTGGGTGGGGCGGGGCAGCGAGACAGGCCCAGGGAATGGGGGACTCCTACCCTAGCCTGCCCTGCTCCACATGTGGGCGGCCAGGGGACAGAGGGATCACTTGCCAGGCACGGGGAAAGGGCAGTGAGGGGCTGGCACCTGCCGGAAGCCACGAGGACCAGGGATGTCAGGCGGCCGGTCGGATCCAGCCTCACCCGGATGATGCCGTTGTCCAGAGTCACGGAACCGTCGCTCTTGGTGAGAGGGAACCTTGAGGTGACATCTAGGGCTCCCCACAACCAGCAGCACCCCCATGGCGGCTCCAGCCCACCTCGCCTCCTCACTGCAGGCTGGGAGCTCAGGCCTCCATGTGGGCTAGCACCCCAGCACAGCCCCCAGCCCAGGACCTGCCCAGACTCACCTCCTGCACGACGAACACAGGCTGATGAGGAGGCAGGGGCTGCAGGGAGACAGGCGCAGGGGCATAGCCCATGCTGGGCACTGTCACTAGGGCTGCAGGGGCGGGAGGGTGGGCATCAGTGCGGCCTTCCTGACCTTCCAGGGACCTAGCTCGGGCAGGAGCGGGGGTTTGGGCAGCCCAAGGCAGAGCCCTCTGGGGCAGAGCCTGACCTGCTCTGCCCGGCCCGCCCCCCGCAGCAGCCTCCCTCTCCCTCGGTTAGTACCTAGGCTGTGGGCGCCACCAGGCTTCGGCAGGGCCAGCACTTCGGTGCGCTCCCAGGGCAGCGTGTTGACGAGGAGGAGGCCCTCGGGACCCGGCTCTCCGGCACACAGGGCTGCGGCCGCCGCACTGAGCAGTGTGTGGCCGTGGGAGCGGATGTCTGGGGAGAGGCTGGCTGGTCATGGTGGGTGTGGGTCTGGGCTGGGCCTGGCGCGGGCCTCGGGCCAACCTCACCTTTGTAGTGCCTCATGGCATCCTCGGCCACCAGCTGGATGCAGCTCCCAGGCACCACGTCATGGAACTGGTTCAGGAGCAGGAGCCTGCAGGGCCAGCGCAGAGCTGGAGAAGCCAGGGTGGCCGCCCGGGCACCCAAGGTGTGGTGGGGCAGGGAGGCTGGCTGACCTCCAGAGGTGCTCCAGCTGGGCTGCCGGGTACAGGAACTGGGCACTGCGGGCCAGGGCCAGGCTGCTGAGCAGCTCTGCGTCGTGCAGGATCCGCTCACACTCGCGGTTCCCCTTCTTGAGCTGAGCCAGGTAGAGTGGCAGGCCAGAGGCTGCTCAGGTACCCAGATGGCTCCCGCAGCCCTCCCTTGCTCGGAACCCTGCTGGCTCCCAGGCCTTGGGATGAGGCCTCTTGTGGGTGATCTGTCCCCAAAGCCCCCTGGCCCCACCACCTCATGGGGAAGGTGCAGTCCGCCTCCTCCATGCTCCCCGGGTACAGGGGCCCTGACCTGGGCGTGGGTGGTGTAGGTGGCATTGTGCAGCTCCAGGAAGAGCTCCCCGACCCATGTGCACAGCTGGCCCGAGTCGCCCTCCAGCGCCGAGAAGAGCTGCTCCGGAGAAGACAGCTGCACCCTGAGGAAGCACACAGGCCTGAGCCTCCCGCCAAGGGGGAACGGGCCGGAGATCCAGCCGTGGACACCCCAGGTGGGCTGCCCTCCAGGGGCTGTGAGCCCTGTCCCAGCCGCGGGGCGGGAGTCTGCAGGTGCCAACGGACAGGACTGGAGTGGGATGAGGTGCAGGGCACTGGCCCGGTGCCAGCACGAGTCTCCATGTGGGGGCCGACGGCGGGGCTGGGGAGAGGCGAGTGCTGGAGCCATGGCCTGACCTGGGCAGCCCATCGGTATTGCCCAGGCGCTTCAAGCGGTCCAGCATGGTCTGGGTGGGGCCGCCACCACCGTCCCCGAAGCCGAAGAGGAAAGCACTGTGGTTGGCCCGCCCCTTGTCCCGGTTGTTGGTCACGGTCTTCAGCACCTGGGTGGGTGGGGTGGGTCAGCACAGAACAGGACGCCCCAGCCCCTCTCGCCTGCCCCCTGCCTGGCCACTGAGTGTCCGCTCACCTCCTCCACGTTGCCCTTCATCCCATATGAGTCTCCAGGTGGGAAGTGGGCCAGCACTCGGGAACCGTCCAGCCCCTCCCAGAAAAAAGTATGGTGCTGCGGAAGGGACAGAGGCAGGGCTGCGGCAGAGCCGGGCCGCCCCGACCTGCCCCTGCCCTCCGTGCTGTGCCGCGTGGCAGAGGCCCACTGTCTGGGCAGGGTTTGCCGGTGTGCCCGGGCCCCTTTAACAAGCCCGGGGAGAGGAGAACAGAGCAGGTAGGATCCAGGCCCCCCAGGGCAGTGGCGGCCGGGGCTCACCGGGAAGGAGTTCACCAGGTTCCAGCTCAGTTTCTGGGTCAGGAAGCGCTCGATGCCACAGCCCCGCATGATCTGGGGGAGCTGCGCTGAGTAGCCAAACGTGTCCGGCAGCCAGAACTGCGGGGGAAAAGGGCCTCTGGAGCCTGGGCCCGGCGCCCCTGGACACCCCCAGCCTGGTGCGGGCCCCTGGCCTACCTCAGAACACATCTTCCCAAACTCCTGCAGGAAGAAGTTCTGACCCTGCAGGAACTGTCTCACCATGGCCTCTCCACTGGGGAGGTTCCCATCCTGGAGGCAGAGAGGGGCAGTGGCCAGTGAGGACCCACGAGGAGTGGGCTTGCTCAGGACACCCTCCCCCGTGCAGAGGCCGGGCTGCCTGGCGCCCGGGTTCTGGCCAGGCCCCAGGGGCGTCCACTGCCTCAAGGAAGAGCCTGTGCCGGTGTATGGGCAGCTGCCAGGACTGTGGCCCTCCTCCCCTTGAAGTCCCAGGCTCGGGGTATCCAGGGACCCTGACTGCAGACCCTGCCACGGAGGGGCCAGAAGGGCCTGCAGTCACCTGCCAAGTCGGGGGTGGGGGGTTGGCCACACAGGGAAGGCCGTGCCGACGTGACCTGAGGCAGAGGGGCTGCTGACACACTCACCATCTCCACCCAGGTGCCCCCCACGGGCACGAACTGCCCACGGCAGGCAAACTCCTGGAGCCGCGAGTGCAGGCCCGGGTAGTGGCTCTTCACCCACTCGAGCTGCTGCGCCTGTGGGGTGGGAGAGGCAGGGAGCTGGGCCGGGGTGACGTGGGCCCCACCCAGGGCTGTGCGTCAGG